TATTCATTGGTCAACTGGTTAGAATTATTTTGCATAATCTACTAACTTAGTCTATATAAACAAAAACGAAACACAGTAGAATCTATTATCATTATTATTATTATGAATACTTAGTTATTACACTAAAGAAAATCTATGTGAAATATTATTCTGCAGAAAACAAATAAACATACTGGAACAAATAGTATGTCACCGGATGTGTAGACAAGTGACCAAATAGATTATGAGACACAGAAATCAATACATGAACAAAGTTAATAAGGCGAAGGATAACGTACAAAAAGTACTCAGCTCGATATATATGTCATGCGATGGTTTGGTAGGACTGATTTTCATTCAGAAAAATACATTGAAATGTTTTCAACAAACAACATTCCAGTTAAAATTAGTCATTGTATCGAATGCTAGACAAAAACGTTTAAAATTTGCTCGCACATCAGGTGTGTGTGTGTGTGCGATGATATAATTCGAAATTTGTATTGGAAAATGAGATGATCTGTATTCTTATTTAGAGCCGGTCAAATGTAAGCTGAACTTCCCATTGGATTATTAGGACTCCTCAGTCATCCCGAAAAGATTTCTCATGTATCAGGGCTGATTGTACTGCCCGGTTGTTCAGGTTAAGGCGGATAGAGTGGGATGCAAATCAGAGATCCAAGGACCAAAAGTCAAATATGTAAGCCAATAAACTACTACACCTTCATATATACACAAGTGTTCCTAATGAAACTGGAACTTATGCTTATTCGTTCCAAGTGGGACGGATGTGGTGTTATAAATGGCACCTTCAGGTTACTAGTCAAGCTCGTAAACCATTCAGCCACTGGGAGCCGAATCACTGGCCAACTCAAGGATTCTACCTTCCGCCACTTCTTGATTTTAGTGCGACTGCATCAGCCAATGTTGTCGGCAAGTATTTGTTCTCACTCCCGACATGGTGAACCCCACTGGTCACGACTTCTCAGCACAACTCCATCCGGATCTGAGTGAGGACGAATACTAGCTGATGACATTGGTTGTTGCCAGTTGCGCTGAAATCACGAATTGGCAGAAGTTAGAATTCATGAACTGGCTATTGAATCAGATCCCAATTCGATCAAATGATCAATGGAGTCTCAAAACTACCCTCAAACGAGTTGTAGCAGTTAACCGTATCGAGCTTCAATAAATATTTACTCATTCAACTATATATCACGTAAACCTCCGGATAAACAAAATATCCAACTAATCTAAGACCTCAGATAGTTTACATACTGATGATTGCAACCATTCTTTGGTCCTGTTCACTGCCATCGTTTGGCTCGGGTGTTCCTCACAAAAGTGGGAGGGTGAGTGTGAACACCTGGCGCTTACAAACGGACTGATGGGCATACTGTTCTACCTAGAGGAGCTGGATAACCCTGATTCTGAAATTATGGTGTGCATGGGTTTCAGAATCCAAATGGATTGAATGGTGTATGGACCTGTTTTGGTTAGTCACCGCAAACTATGGGAATGCAGCTCCTGACGCTGGATAAGACTTAAAGTCAGAGGCGTCGGGGGATAGTCGCCTAAGACAACTACTTGCTTCGATCTAAGCGTCCTGGCAGTATCCAAGGCCTCGTACAAACTATAAGGTTGTATGTGGCACATCGCTAGGTGTCAATAGTGTCAAGTTTCTGTTTTAGTATAATATACGCTCCATTAATAAGTAGCACGCATGCAGAAAGATGTGGCTTGCTTCAAGGACCAATAGTTCAACACAATCGAGTAATTTCAGAATTCCAACCCATATGTGTGTGATATACAGTCGAATGCTTAAATGGTCCCAACACACTTTCACTGCGAAGAATACTTGCTGGTATTAACACATTGTATAATAATAATAATAATAATAAATATGCCTGAGTCTCACCACTGAATGTTGAAGTCTAAGAAGAGACTTTAAAAAAAGCACACCTCATAGTTCTACCTATCAGTTACTTATTATGTTTCCAAGTTTCACATTGATTCATCCATACCAGTTGAAGAATATGTTTTAAAACTGTGGAGAAGACTTGTAGCTCAAGTGGATGATTTTGGTATTGTTGTGTTCAAGTGAGAAGCTCTTGTCGTCCAACCAAATATCTTCAGTGCTAACTTCAAGAGGAAGAGGTCTTTTTTTAAATTCTCAGTGTATATGATAACAGTCGCTCCCAGTGACCTTGAATCTAATTGTTTGTAAACAGAGTCTTTCTTCTCCTCGTGTTTCACTCGTACTGGTACTAGTCATTTTTTTTGGTGTGATATACGACCTTTTGTTCACGTGACTTGTTTTTACTGGTTATTAAGTCTGATCTATAATCAGTATATCAGTTAATTTCGGAATTATATGAGCACTGCGCTTTCAGGAATTCTTTAGCATTCTTAGTATTTACGTGCTTTTTCATTTGTCTGTAGTATTCCACATGCATTGACATAAAGGGATAATCATAATGACTGTTAGTTTATGCACGTAGTTGCAAGGACGAAGGGGACATCCATTTTGATCAATATGATGAACGGGAGGACACGAAAAACCCCACCTACAACTAATCATGCCTAAGTTCATCAGGAATGATTGTTATTACGCACACGGAGAATCTCAACAGCTCATTTCATCTTAAACTTACAGTTAAAGTGGATGCTATTAAAAACAATCAAAACTTCTCAATCAAATCACTCAGTTAAGAGAATGAAATGCCAAGAACATGTTTCAGACAATTATTTATCTCTTACATCCAGTCAGCACAAAACGAAATTTACCATTAATATGATATGCAGTATAATATAAAGACTGTTGATAGGTGGCACAGATTAGAAGTGAAAAATTTATTCAACAGAAGAATATGAAACGGCCAGAAAGAATTACCGACAAGGAACTCTGGAAACGAAGGAAACAGGAACCTATTGCTCAACAAATATTCCGAAGAAAATGGAGTTGGATTGGACACACGCTGAGGAGACTATAGAAAGAAATCACGCACCAGAACAAGAATGGCAAGGTACGAAATGGGAGTCTTAGGGTGACATGGAGATCGTGTGAGGAGGAGGTGAAATACTATAGTTAGTCGTGGGGCCAGATAGAGAGGACAAAGTGGAGATGTTCTTTTGAAGCCCTAAGTTCCCCTCGGAACCCAAAGGAACAATAATAACACACACTTGAATAATAATAATAACAATAATGGTAATAATTTTACCACTAAAACTGTCATAATACTTGATTCAAACATTGCTATACTGCAAATATGTGTAGAATAATTGTTGAAACTCTTTTGCAGGTAACATTAAGATATTTGAAGAAAACATAGTCAATAGAAAATCTTAGTAAAACGTGCTTAAATGATAAAGTCATTTTTTAAAAGTAAATATCAGTTTATCAATAAGAAAGATAAATAAGGTTCTCGGAAGGCCCTAAGTACTAAGTGCAAGGCGTGGATATCTGACCGGCTGGGCAGTACTGGAGGCAATTTTTCCCATTGCTGCTACTACCTTTGAACTTCTGTCAATAAGATAAGAAATTATGACTCAAGGTTCTAGCATAAGCTTTATTAATCATATTTTGTCCAGAGAAGCTAATATCCAGTGTTTGAAACATTTCATACTAACCAACCTCACCTGGATAGAAATATTAATGCCATCTATTCTAAATGATGCATATAAATGGAGGCTTGAAAACAATTTCAATGTTATCTCAAAATGTTTATATTAAATCAACATTTTCCTTATTCCTTCTTTTGCGTTCCCAATGGAATGTAGGGCTTCCAGCTTAAGCTTTGAAGTTTCAGTAGCAGTGGTGTTTTTCACGGGGTAGGGTTACTAGCTTCATACCCAACATTCTGTCTTTGTTGGGATTATAAAGGGCTAGAGGAAGTAAGGGTGTGCATCAGCGGGGACTCAGATCCCAGACCACGTGCATGGTAGGCCAGCACTTTACCGCTGAACCACTGACGAACGTGTTTTTTTCTTTCCTTCACGTTCTCCAGTGGAACATAGGGCTTCAAGCTAGTGGCTTGAAGTTTCTGTAGCAGCGTTTATTTTACAGGATGGGTTGCTAGCCTCATGCCCAACCTTTCCTCATTACCAGAATTATTTGTGGCTTAGCGAGGTAAAGGAGTGAGTCAGCCGGGGACCGAACCCCGGACCATGTGCATGGTCGGCGAGAGCGTCCCAACCACTATGCCACCGACGAACGTATTACATTAAACTAATATGTAAAACAACATATCTATGCATCGCCTTAGAAATTAAGCAGCAATTACTTTTAAATTGTCGATGGAGTTTGTTACAACTCATTTGTCCAGTACAGTTGTGTGAGCACTGATGTTACTACCTAGATGCTCAGGCTGAAGTAAGTGAAGAGAGAAAGTCACACCTCAGATCCATCTGATGTAGGTTAAGGCAGCGAGTCATATCCCTATTAAAAACGAGATATCATTCCTTGTTGTGTACCTTCCCAACAGAAATCTTTCGCAAACGTCAAAAATGAAGAGCAATCAGAGTGCAGATTCTTATACTTATAAAATAAATTTAATAATACTTAAAAAATTTTGTACACCAAATATATGTACAGTTGCAGCATAAACTAAGTCTCCAGCTCTACTAAGCGATCACATAGATCTATAATTAAGGCATATTCTCTTGGAAAAATCAGTCAAAGTCGAAGAACAAATGGACTAACAACAACAACATCTAGACAATAATATTCATTACCACTCTACTCTCGTCTATAGTTATAAAATATAAATTCGAGTAACAATACGTGTTAACTGCGCACCGAACAACAATAACGTCTATCTCTCTTTGACAGCAGAAGCACTTACTAGTAACCAACCTTTCAACTATGATGAAGTGCGGAACTAACTCATCGAATTCATCAAGTTAAACATAAACATCTTATAATTCGATAACAAAACATATTCAAACAAACTGTTAGAGACTAACCAACAACTACACCATATATGAATATATATATATATATATCCAAGGAAGAACAGCACGACTATGTGAAAAGAACACTTTTTTTATTTTGCATTATACATTATATTATATATATAACAGATAATACGAAGAAAAATAAAAAGGAGAGGAAGAAGGCAAAAGGAATAAGAACATAACCTGGTTATTATATTATAGGGAACGCTGTAGGGTATATGTGTGTGCGGGGACCAGTGAAATGATATTATGAACAAGATAATAATATTAAAGCGGAAAGAATGAAACAAAATTAAAAAGTCAAGCAGTAATCAGTAATTTACAAACAAACCAACTTCTTCCTTATCTTATTCTTCCTCTTCTTTAAAGCTTCACAAACACGAGAGAAGAAATGAACTCAAAGTAGGATGGAATTATACATGTATATATTAGAAAAAGTGGAAGATTCACTCCGGAAAAGAAAAGCAAAAACAGAGAAAACAATTATGCAAAACAGTACACAATTCTGATGTATATTATTTAACAACACAAACAATTTGTTTACAACCATCAGTCCAGAAGACGAAGAAGAAGAGGAGGAGGAGGAGGAGGAGGAGCAAGATGTAGAAGGGAAAGACTAACAAACGAAAAGAGAAAATAACCTAATTGTATACACTCAAACAAACATGTGGGATGTATACAATGATAGGCTGTTAAACTCTACTAATAATTAGGCAAACAACTACATTAACAATCTCTTGCGTTGTAACCTATACTGGGTTACTTTAAAAATTAGATAAAGGATTGAAAATTCACAAGTAGATTGAAACTAACACTAAACACAAAACCACCCTCTCTTATAATAATAATAATCTTACACTGGAAGTGTACAATTATCGTAGAAACGTTACATACACAAACACACACACCTGTTAGCAAAGAAACGGTGTATCTGAATAACAAACGATAAGGATTATACCCCTTATATAAATATATATATATCTCTGTGTATGATTGATTTAATCGACACATTCAATATATTTAAGCACCATTTAAAGTTGGACAGAATGATGCGATACAATTGGAAAGAGAAGCCAAACCAGAACAACTAACCAAACTAACTAGCCAACTGTACGTTCGGATGGAAATAGAAACACTTCTAATGCGTATGTGTGATGTGAGAGCAAAACAAAACAACACTCCTCACTGTGAATAGAATAATCCACAGAGTATTTGACTAGTTGATAAGAGAATTATTTAGTCTGTACAGAAAGATATATAGTTGTATAACAAGATTCTAAAGAGTAAATGTGGAATATTGAGGCAAAAACGGATTACTCCATTATATATTAGACAGTATTTAAAATTCCATTGTAAGTAAACATTGGAAAGAATAGTGTGTTTAAAGACCACCACGCACAACCCTGCTGATGGTTATTGTTTTTTGTTTTCATCTCAATAATTTATGCGCAAGCACCGTCACCTGCTGGTGATGGAGGGTCACCTCGTGGATGCTGATTTTGAGGGTTAGATGTGAAAGCTTGTTCATCATCAGTGAGCAAAAGGGATCCAGCGTATGCTTTTAAAGCATCATCCATAGCAGCAAGAAACTCAGCATGCTGAGGATATGACATAGAAAGAATACCTCGGAAAGCAGAATCCAAATGGCTATCGTCTGTATCAGGTCTGCATGGTTGATTGTTGTCGTTTCGAGCGGAGGTAGTTGACGATGTAAGACGATGGCTAGGTCCCGTTGAACGGTGAAGATTCGGAATCGAAGCAGTTGAAACATTAGTTACTCTTGGTGCACCAATAGAATCTGCTGGGAGTGGAGAAATGTATCTAGTGAATACAGCCCGATTACTTTGACAGAAACTAGTCGGTGAAGATCGGATAGCTTCAAGTAGTGTCAGTGAAGCAGTATTCGGAGAATTACTAGAATGAACTCTGCCAGAATTGCCTCCATTTGAACCTCTTCCCTCGGAGGTATCGCCATCATTTTGCTCTCCAATCGAAGCGTTTTGCCTACTACGTGTATGAGGTCGGCGACCACGAACAGCTGATCCTCCATCTTCTTCGTCATCATTATCAAATTCGTCATCGTCATCATCAGAATCACAATGGCATTCTTCATCTTCATCATCCTCTTCCTCGTCTTTATTGATTTCTTCAACTGGAGAGTTACATTCATCAGTGTGTTCAGAAGACTGGCTTTCTGAGACAGTACCCTCAGCTTGTCTTCGTATTCGACGACGAGCCCTTCGACGGATACCTTTATGACCATTGGCTTCGGTAGTACGAGAGCCGGACGATGTGTTTCCGTCAACTTCATGGGACTGATTTTCATTGGACTGTGAAGCAGAAGACCTTAAACGCTTCCCAGTTTGGTGCTGTGCAGAAGCCTCCATTGCTGCAACCTCTTCATCTGCTTTCGCGATCTGTGCAGGTGTTAGATGATACAAAAGAAAGTGACCTAATGTTTGAGCTTCAACGAAATTCTTATCCTGAAAACAACGCTGCAGAGCACGAAGAGCATGTTCGAGTGCTGGTTGAGCAGGCAAATCATGGGCCTCTGAAAAAAAGAAAACATAAGAAGTAATCATAATAACTGCAACTAAGCATAACACTTGTTAGTTGGTCTTACAGTATTTTTGTCATCTTCAACTTCACACTATGTTTATTTAATATAGATTGTTTAACTGGAGAATAACAGTCATGTTGAGATACTTGCCAATCTGGGTGACCACTAATTATGAGGTATTATCGTGACGCCGCCAGTAAATCCTGACACTAATCTCATCATATAGAGAAAAATTCGTAAATCTAGCAAGATAAGAGGCATGATATTAAAAATCTCCCAATCGTTTGTTTGGAAATACGATAATCAATTCTCGGCAGATGAAAAGAGTTACTTGAAATACTCCTCACTAAAATCACGAACTTCTCATTTGACTAGATTTACTAACAATAGGTTTATCCACTATTAGTCAGTTAGTTAGGCAATGTCAGCTGCCACCTATTAAAACAAACATCATCATTCATAACTTGATCATTTAAAAGATGGTAAAGTTTCTGTTCTGAGAAAGCTACATGACTCATTAAGAATGATCAAATTGTCTTTTTCTAAATAGGCTAAGTAACGTGTTTTTATTCAGGCAAATTATGGTTGAAGATGTTGAAAAGGAAAGAATCGTACGAATTGTTTTACTGCACTTTATTTTGGCGAAGTTATACCAATGTAAATAACTCTTATTGTGTTGTTTATTGAAAAAGTGCAATGCATTTAGTTTGACAGATTGACATTTCTCATTTCGAAATGTACTTAGAGTCTTTGAATAAAGTTAAACCTGCATTTATCCATCTACTGATGTGTTCCTTTTACACTTTGGTTTGACCCTTGATTGTTGCAATTTTTCTCACTAACTTTCGGGTTCATGCACTACTGGTTTGATTACGAGTTGACATAAGTTAGAGGACCAGTAGAACCATTGGGTTCCAGTGACTGAATAGTCTACGAGCTCGCCTGTCTGCCTGTCTATTTTCGGCATAAAACCTTGCACCGATGTGCAGCAGTTCAAGTCGCCATACTACATGTAGCATACAAAGCAAGAGAAGGTAGAAGAAATGCACAATAGAGCCAGTAAACAGAGGTATGAGACAAAGTATTAGTAATAACGATGAGCAATATAGTCTCACTGGAAATCATAAGTCACAAGGAGTGGATGCATCTGCACCATTGAGGTTTTTAGCCATATCACCGATTGTCTCCAGCCATTGGTTTCTACCGTCCCGAGGACACCAACCAGGGAGTCTACACCGACCTACGTGGCTTAAACTAACTGTTGTGAATTTCATTGAACGATGAAGCCATGTTTTGGTTTGACCACCACTGGCTCTTTTCCAACCTAACCCTATGTAAGCTAACATTGCCCGTCGGTCGACGAAGGCGATGACTAGGCTAGAATGCGTAACACATGTCCTAACCATCTCAATCGATGTAACTTCACAGTCTCGTCTACTGATTTCCCCTCCCACCTACCTACCACTCGACGCCTAACCGCAATATTGCTCACCCTATTATACCACTATTATAACACGGGAGATAGAACGCAGGCACTTATGATCAAAGACAACTAGCCAGCCTAATCATGTCTTCTACTCTCAATAACTAAGTCTCAATAACCAGTCCTCTAACATCATCTTACATTTGACGAGCTCGCTTAGTAACTGGAAGGTCCTAGGTTCAACCAGAGGTGGCAGGTGCATACTGCTGGATAGTTATTTCCCAAACTAGGAAGAAACAGATGTCAAGGTACTCCCAGGCATTTCAGTGGTTCTCTATGGCCACTGGTCAACTCGTGATGAAACCTGTAACTGATCAAATTCCTGCAAACCAACACTTGATAAATTATGTATTACCTCAGCCATTATGACTGAACATCAACATATACGCTTATTTTAAAGCCTGTGATACAGGAGCGAAAAAATGCTGCGATGATATTTCAGCATCCTATTTGAAATATAAACTCACTTAAAACAGCACTGTTGATAATGCTAGCTATGGTATCTCGCCACACCGGATCCAGTAAACCGCGTAATGGACAATCGTTTGATGTAGGTGATGGATATGCCAATAGGCTAACAGATTGCTGAATATAAAAAATTGGAAAATAAGAGTTCTAGTATTGTAGTTAATAAATATTTTAATTACAAAAATTATAATCAGATCAATTCAGACGTATGCACGTTTGTTAGAGTGTCACAGTCAAATTCAAAGCAGTAATTTCAATGTTTCATACTTGACTAATTGGTCTAAAGAACTTATACGAGGAAATGGTCACAAATTTGCACTAATAAATAAAATAAATATTTTATCACCTTATAACACTAATACGAGTTGGAGACATAGTGGTGAATTGAGGCATTCAAAGAAAGGTGGCATACTGGTCTACGGTGTTGACTACCAACCACTGGGGTACAGGTTCGAACCCTGTCAGGTAACCATCACACAAAGGTTTGGTTCATTGTCAGCTGCATGCAAATGGAATTGTTGATGCATAAGCTTTTCTTCCCTTAGAAAGATTATTTCAGCATTTCATTGCAATTCCACCAAACAGATTTTGAACTACTGTATTTAAGTAGCATTTTTACAATGAACATCAACACTATTACTTCCCTACACAAACTTCTACAGAGTTTGGCAATTGTAGCTAGGCGTGTAAACAATAGAAACTGAAACACCAACACTCTGACGTTTGTATATGCCTCGGTGATAAACTGGAGATCCGTAAGATCAAGTCTGGTGTCTGGAGGAAAATACATACTATTCACTGTGTCCTGCATAATGCATTTTGTAAAAAAAAAACTTAGAATTCTAGAAGGCATTGATTCTCTTTTGCTCAAAGATGGGTTCTGAATAGAATAACTTCAAAGATTGTATGTATGGTATAGTATCAGGAATGAAATACCACTTGACTGGTGCAGTCTAGCAGGTAAGGGGTAAGGATGTGTATGTTTGATCAATTTCCCAGTAGAATAAGTTAGAGTCGGGTGATGTTAATCACCCAGAACCGCACAATACCTGATAGAAGAATAACACGGTTTCAGTTGACCTGCATTATCTTAAAAGGATTGAATGCAAGTGATGAAAATTAAGGAGAAATGTGATATTTTGACTATATGTGGATATCTGCAAAGACTGTTTGAATGAGACTAGTTCTATTATGTCAAAATGTGAAAGTAGAAAGTGCAACTATTTACGATGCTGAAAGATCGAAATAACCAAAGCTTTCAATAACCAGCTCACCTGCAGTAAACGTTCAGTTTCTAAAGACAAGCCACCTGTCTTCGCTCTGACTTGTTTTACCAAATTTACAAGTGAACGACCAAACTGGACATGTCTTAACAAACACCTCATTTCATCATGATCCTCAACCTCTGAATTACTCGACGTAGCATTGAGGATATCTTTCGTTGATTTTGGTTTTGATTCTGCAGAGGATAATTCACTGTCAACATCCATTCCTGAAGGCGTATATGACTGATTATCAGAATGGCAGGCTTTTAAATTTGAAGATGGCAAAAGATTACTAATACAAACCCCTGTATCGTCATCCACACCAAAACCATCATCATCTTCATCGTCTTCAAGATCACCTGCTTCTAAATCATCATCAAAATCTGTCACCATATTGGAATTTCGATCATTTTTATCTTTTCTTTCACTTTCTGTGCATCTTCTGCAGGTGATGCCTTGGACAGATCTTCCGAATCCACTTCCATTGACGAGATTGACGTGCCATTTTCAACAGTCTGAATAAACAAACAATTAGATAATACGTAGGATACAATGCGAAATTATTCGAAAAGGTCTATTTGAAAGAGAGATTTTCGTTTCAACTTTAACTCATTACTCTGTTACACGTCAAGTTAAACTCAAGTTATCTTTTAGACAAATTCATAAAGTAGCTTCTTTGTTCCATATCTATCTGTAACAAGTCTAATAATAGGAAAGATATGAAAATTATTTTATTTACAAAAAAGTACATAACTTTGGCAATAGTTCAGAGTCTTTTATTTCATGAAAGCTGATAGGTATAAAAACAAGCATTTCCGAGGTGTATGTGCGCATTTTGGTTCTGTTCAACAATTTTCGAAGTAATTACAAAAAAACTGTGTTAAAACCAGATTTTGAATAACCTGAAACTGACGAATCGACAATAACAATAAGGACAGTTCGTGAGTATAACTGACTTACAAATTGTTACACTGCACAACAGTAAAATGCATTACGTGTAAACAGAACAGCAGAACACTGTGTCACGGTGTAATTAGCGCAATTAGAATAGGCATTAAAACATGTCAATTTGAGCACAAGCAAACATGGGACACAATCGGTGTCAAACGTACGCGCACCTCCTACATAGTTTCAGTTTAGAAGATGAAACGCAGATGTACTATATGGCAGCACTGGACAATACTTCTCTTGACATGTTAAATATCTTCAGCATTACGCTTTTTAAGTTAATAGTACAGATACTATCATTAAGACGTGTATTTGATAGTATTTAAACTAATAAACATTGTTAAACGGAACTAAAATATATTCTTAGAACAAAAACAGACGGATTAGCTGTCCTCAAGAAGTGATTAGATAACAACAACAACAACAGATATTCCAAAGTCTATGTCGAGTAAAAAGCCGGTGACGTATACAAAGGAAAGATAACAAACGGTTAATATATTTCGTGTTAGAACGGATTTCTTATGTTTGCATCAATCTTCAGACAAAACTCCTCAAGTGCCCAACTAACACCAATGTAATCCAAACTCAAGTAAGGTTGGCAAAAGAGGTACAATAAAATGATAATATATAAAAGACACTTCATTTTTCTAAACACATTTGGAGAATGCAACGAGTAATGGATAAAGATGAAGTGCAACTCTGAAGTGCAGGAGGATTCGAACCAGCAGCCACTGCAATTTTTCGTCCGTTACTCTACCAGCTAACCAGAATACTATTTCACTGCAGTTCTCATGGGTTACGCCCAGCCATCAGGTAAGGGAAAAATTATGACAACGGGTCTGTCTGTCTGTCTGTTTTCGACATAGAACTTTGCACAAATGTGCGGCAGTTCAGGTCGCCACATTCCGTGTAGCACGCGAAGCAAGAGAAGAAAGTACAAGAAAAGCATAATAGAAACAGTGAGCAGAGGTGTGAGACAAAGGAGTAATAAAGAAATACAAAACAGTTTCATTGAAGATCATAAGTCACAGGGAGTGGATGCATCTGCGCCACTGAGAACGGTTTTGAGCCATGTCACCAATTGTTTCCAACCATAGATTTTTACCGTCCCGAGGACCCCAGCCTGGAAGTCTACACCTTTCTACGTGGCTTAGACCAACTGTTGTGGATTTCATTGACTGCTAAGGCCAAGTTTTTGTTTGACCGCCGCTAGCTTTTTTCCAGCCTGACCCTATATCCGCTAACATTGCGCGTCGAGGGAGGCGATGACTTGGCATACGTAACACATGTCCTAACCATCTCAGTCTTTGTAACTTCACGACTTCGTCGATTGATTTCCCCTGTTTACCTAGAACTCGACGCCTAACCTCAATGTTGCTCACCTTATTATGCCACTTTACACGGGAAATAGAACGCAGGCACCTATGATCAAAGGTAGCTAGTCTTTTCATGTCTTCCACTCTCAGTGGCCAGGTCTCACAACCGTAAAGGAGGACGGAGCGGACTGATGAGCAGTACACACGCCCTTTGGTCGATAGTCGAACATCTCGTCTACGCCAAAGTCGGCGTAAACTAACAAATGCGAAACGAGCCCCTTGTATTCGTGCTGAGATTTCGTCAGAGATCAGCCCGTTGGGGCTGATGGTACTTCCCAAATAAGTGAAGCGGTCAACGTGCTCTACCACTTCACTTCCTATTTTTAAACTAGGCGTCGATGTAGTCCAGTCCTGTAACATCATTTTGCATTTGGCGGGAGCGAATCGCATGCCAAACATTCGTAGATTGCGGCTCAAGGTGTTTAGAAGACTCTGCATTTCGTCAGCGTCTTCGCCTAGAAGGACTATATCGTCTGCATATTCCAAGTCAACGAGATTATTCCCCGGTAGCAAGTCAATCCCTGAGTCGCTGAAGTCACTTAGGGTTAAGTCCATTAACACATCTATGATGAAGTTGAATAGAAAAGGAGATAATGGGCATCCTTGACGGACACCACTGGTCGTCATCAGTTCAGATGACAGCTCGCCGTAAGCCCTCACCTGGCTGTATGAGTACGAGTAGAGTGCCTTAATCAGTGCAATATATTTTCTTGGAATTCCCTTTACAGCCAAGCATCTCCAGAGAACTTCCCGATCGACAGAGTCGAATGCTGCCTTTAGGTCAAGAAATATAATGACTGTTGGACGCCGGTAGGAATTCCTATGTTCTAGAATCTGTCGGAGGGTGAAGATATGATCAATACATCCTCTTCCTGGTCTAAAGCCTGCCTGGCTCTCTCGTGTTTGTGCTTCCCGAGCACCACTCAGTCTACGCATGATTATTGAGCCTAAGACTTTAGATACTATATTAGTCAAGCTAATCCCTCTGTAGTTATTTTTATTCGCTCACTGCATCAAATGAGAAAATATACCACACAAAGAGGACTTTGCTCATTCCTTTAGCTCTATTGGATCAACAGCATTTGCAGAATAATACAATGATTGTTTCTCCTAAGCTGTTTTTTCTCCTCAACCTTTTACCTAACTTATCTCTTCCCCCTGGCTTCACAGATAATACCGTATTTTTTTGCTGTTGTTGTGTGGTGAGTTAGACATTAACATTTCGAGTCATATTTTCAACACTTCTCTCTAAATATGTGTTAATAAGTAAAATCAAACCACTTCATCTGCATTAGTGTCTCTGTATATTTGGTTTTACTTGTTCCACTTTAAACCAAGCAACTACTGCTTTCATCTTGTTTTCTCTAGCCGATGGCAAAACTATAAAATCAAAATAAAGCCATCATTCCTCACGCGAATGATTAATAGAACAATTTGTACGTGAATATTGATGTAATTTAATTGATGCAAAAATACCAATAAAATAACGTACCGTTTGAATTGGACTAGATGATGTATCTTGAAATGATTTATCTTGTCTGTCAGTAATACAACATCCTGAACCAACATGAAGTGAACCAGATACTCTTTGAACTTTTGGTGGAGCTATAGTTGGACTGGAGTCATTAAATTCACTTCCTGAATTGGAGGCTTGACTACGACCACGTCTTACGGCATGACGACGCATCTACATAATCAATGTAAGAATTATGATATCTGCAAGTAGAATGACAAGTGACTATGTTGTAATATTTTTATCTAGAGTCTCACGGAATTTCTGATTTTGCAGACGACACCGATAGGCTGTTTTACCGGAGGTAGACAACCTGATACCTAGTAATACAGGAGGCATTGTATTAACTTCCCCACTGTTTATATGTTGTAACCTGTAACAATGGCCACTTTTAAATAGTCTAAGTTCATTTTCTGGAACTGAAACGAGTAGTTAGTTACATTTATTTTTTCAGAAATTGATGATTTTGCTGCTCTATGAACCACTGTGCTTTATCCCATTTTATCCCTATTCGCCATTTCTCAACGAAAGACAATAGTTAAACACAATTAACAAATTTGATTTAACGAATCTTCTTGTCACACATGTATACATACATACACACACAACCTCAATTCCACCAGTTATATAGTGTGATCAACATTGGTTAACCCCGTCTACAAGAATAAAACAAAAACTTTACCAAACCAACATTCATGATATTTTTATGGGTACTTTGCACTATATGACAGAACTAACTACTAGATTAAGACTTTTTAGGTCAACACTGAGATACCGTAGTACGAAAATCTGAATTTCAGTGATTTAATTCGTGAAAACAGAAATATCACTCAGTATTGGAGAGTATTTTGGCAAAGGTGGAACTCTGTTGCCCATCGTTTTTACAAGTGATATTGATTCATAGTGAAGGCCCACGTGTCAATTAACTTTAACTTCCCACACATGCACAATGTCAGAAGAGGTGATATACTTTTGTTATTATTCATGGTAGAGATAACTGTCAGTAACTAAAACCTTGACACAGAAATGTGGGGTTAAAGGTATTCTGTGGTACCGTTTCCGACTAATTGTCGGGATGTAAATATGTTCACTTTCCTTTATCTTCAAACTTTTAACATCTTTGTCAGCTAGTTTTTTCTGCAATTTTTAGAGTTTTGTTTTAATACCTCTTTATTTCTCTTCAGTTTCACTTTCTACTGTTTCAAAATATAACAAATTTAATTAGTGAATTACTGTGCAAGCCTTTAGATTGATATGCTTCTTCATCCGTTACGAATTTCGTATAACCCGAATAGAATTAGTTTAATAACATTATAGAGGGACTGTTAGAGACTAAACAGTATGAGAACAAACTTACCATTTCAATAAGCTGTCGACAACGAAGTTGAACAAGCAATTCCGGACACCGCTCAAGAACTTGAGGGTATAAGCGATTTAAAGTAGCGGCAGCTTTCCCATACTGACATCGTCGGCATAGAGCTCGCAATCGTCTTCGATGCAACATGCTTGCAATGCCAGGAATTTGGTTCCCTAAGTGGGCGTTTCCGTTGGCTGGAGTCAAACACGAGCTGTCACTATGGCGGCGCTGAAGTGCTGGGAGGTTAGAATCCTTGTTAGTAACATCTTGATGCATATCAACATTCGTCTCGGAGGAACTAGAAACTAAGTTCGGTCGACTAGAAGTTTCATTTTGGGCTGGAATCTCATTAGTTTGAACTTCAGAATTCTGAACAGAGGTTGCAAGATTGGACCAGTAAGAAAATGCCTTGGCCGTGGCAACATAACCATGATGGACGAGGTATCCAGAAACAAGTCTATGAGACCATAAAATAACTCAATCTAATATAAGGTTGAATGTAAAGCAATCTATATGTTGAACACAAAAAATTCAAGTTTAACACATTTCGATATATTTTGGTTTACCTTACTGTATAAATTAAAACAGTTTGTACGTCACTAAAACACTAGAAATAACATAAATCAAAATACCACAGATATAATCGCTTATAAAACACTACACTGTCTGTTTTCGACAGTGTTTCCAACCTGATCCTATGTCAGCTAACATTGCCCGTCGGTCGACGAAGGCGATGACTAGGCTAGAATGCGTAACACATGTCCTAACCATCTCAATCGATGTAACTTCACAGTCTCGTCTACTGATTTCCCCTCCCACCTACCTACCACTCGACGCCTAACCGCAATATTGCTCACCCTATTATACCACTATTATAACACGGGAGATAGAACGCAGGCACTTATGATCAAAGACAACTAGCCAGCCTAATCATGTCTTCTACTCTCAATGACTAAGTCTCGCTCACAGCCATAAAGGAGGACAGAGTGGACTGATGAGCAGTACACTCGCCCTTTGGTCGATAGCCAGAAATCACGTCTACGCCAGAGACGGCGTAAACTGGCATATGCGAAACTAGCCCTCTGTATTCGTACGGAGATTTCGTCAGCGATCAATCCGTTGGCACTGGCGGATGCAACTTCCTACGTAAGTGAGGCGGTCAGCGTGCTCTACCACCACACTACCTATTTCTAAACACTACACTACAGGTCTATGTATATGAAACTCTAAATAGATAGTTTCTGAAAGCAGAAGTTGAACATAGGCGTAAGCAATGGATGTTCAGTCAGGTCCAGAACCCACTTACTTCAGTTAGAGTAAATTGGTAGTGTCAGTAGCCACCACACAATAAGTGTGGCTTATAACCCATTACCGGGCAGTTGAGATCTAACTCCTAATATACCACGGAAATCCCACCAACTGAAAACAGATTCATGAGTATCTTGTAGTGCTGGATGCAAATACTAGGCCAGGAAATTAGCCAATAGATGGTACTTTTGATTAATGTGAGACGACTAAAAACAATCAGATTTCACGATTGGTGACCCTTAGTAGCAAATAGTATATATAACTTCAAATGGCTGATATCCATCCAAATGGTTGAATTAATGTATCCCAATGCTGTAATCAGAAAATTTATACAGCCATTCAGGGATTAGTTGATCTCTTATATCAACTATGTCACTAGCAAGTAACCAAGATCATGTTACCAGTGATGACGGAATTTTAGCAACCTAGGTTGAAGATATTTCCTACTGATTACGGTTAAAGAGCACGAAATCTGAAATAAAAACAATCAAACATATTTTGAATTATTTTCCGCAGAAAAACAATTACCCAAGTTCTCTCAAAAGACCATTCTTTTATCACTCCTAATTTACTATTGTGAGTGTTAAGGTATATTTAAGTAACAGGCACAAAATTCAGAAAAAGTATATGATTTTTAAAAACTATCAAAAGCACAATATATATCTTCGCTAGTCACTATCTGAGCTAAACTTTGCAATAAAACCTCATTGCATTACGGAACCCAATATTTCTCAATTTGCTGTAGCTTCAACAGTCAAGTAGTATCACTAACCTGATGGAAATGGCAGCTGAAGAGTATTTTATATATTTATATTTAAGTAACGTATTATTTGCACACCTGTTTAAGGAATTTATGAAAGATCCTTGCAAAGATATGCTGAGAAAACGTACAGTGCACATCCACTGGCGACAATGTCTTAACTGTTAAGATATAATTGGATGATTTTGTTTCGTGTCATTCTTCTGAACATTTCTAACACTAAAATAAAACAATAATGAAGTAAAGTGTATCAAAGTAGCTAGAAGTCCCACCATAAAAGCAATTTCATAAACTGTACTAAATAATGATCATTTAGTTACCAACATCTTGAATTCTTACTCCTTTATTTTAATCCCAGCAAACTCTTCTTTACAAGTGAGTTCAATTAGTTTGTTTTCACGAGATATGCGTTCTGTTTTAAGATGGTTTTCAAAAGCAAAATGAAAAGGCTGTTGTCCAAAGTTGGTTGACACACGAACTCCACGACCATGTAACCCTATTGTGGGGAACAAACGTGTACCAGCGCCAACCTACAAAAAAAAAACAGTTATTCACTATTTCAACCAGTTAGTATAACCAAAAAGGCGACGGATTAGTTAGTTTCCGTGAAGTATCTTAATGTATAACGTAATGAATTGGAAATATACATTATGAAGAGCTTTTGCACTAAATTCTAATTAAATTTTTAGTACTTTATAGGTTTTTACGATTCGTAGTGACTGGAGTGTGTTTCTTTACCTTTCATATTTGCTGTTGGTTTAGATTGAAATTCATGTCATAAAATGGGACCAGTGACAACAATATGTTATTATAAGTCATATATGATTAACTGCTCTGTATAAATGTTTCATATATTTAGTGCATAACCACGACACCATACGCGTTGGGATGTGAATTAAACGTCATATGTATGGGTAAGGGACTTACCGGCAATTTCCCTTCAAAGGCTCTGCCCAGAAAGACACCATTTCGGGTGAAGAACAAACTGTGAGAAAGAAAATCAACTCCACAACCGATGACGTCATTTTCCCCAAAACGAGGTCCCAGCTTTGTAGTTGAGTTCGAAGACCCATGATACGCGTAACCATCCGTCTGATAACCAAAAGAATTATTTTCAGAACCTAAATTCAGAAAAGTTATAACACAGGGATAGGATGAGAAAATGCTTTAGAAAACAGATTCGATCGTCGCAGCACATATAAGTGTAAGCATTAGTATGGCAGGGAAATTTACATAGGATTTGCAGCCTGAACCTGATAGAACAGGTCGGGTTGTATAGCGATGATTACTTTATGCGGTGTCCTTGGGTAAGGAAAGTGACTCATAACAGACTGCCTGAGTAACTTCCCCATCGACTCTTGGTTTAATTTTTGTGTACGTAGTCCCAATGTGTACGTAAACATAATCTTGCTGTGGACCAAACATGTAAACCGTAATATCTGCAACAACAAATTTACTTTACAGATTGGTCCAAACTGTAGTGTCTGTAATAACCTAGAGTATTCGGGACATTTTTTGAAAAGTAGCATAAAAAGACTGATACTTGTACGGGTAATGGATCGAAGTGCGCAGAGGATAATTATAATGCTTTTCCTTAACTTTATCATAGACAAACTTATAAAGGCATCTTAGTATGACGTCGGAGGAAATTGGTTAGTTTAGTATATATACATATATATATATATATATATATATATATATATATATATATAAGGTTGTAGCTCTTCAACAATCTGGATAGGTTAAGCAAACATTACGTACTTGTCAAGTTTTGACCAGCTTAAGATAGCACTACAAAATAATCAATGACTAGACTTCAGATGAAGCTATCAAGTCAACACAAAGGTAAAATAAATAATGGTACTTATTGCAGGCGACTTTAATGTACTAGTACACTGTATACTCGCCTTCGAATGGAATTTTGACCTGATACTGCAAATAGAGTTAGTGGAGTGTATGCTATTTTATGATTTCGACGTATCGCTATAGTATTTTAAATACGAACCAGGGATTAAACGAAATAGGTTTCAGTTGATTTAGTTCTCACGTTTACCCTTATGTAGAGTTTAAAAAACGGTTGCAATACAATGCGATTTAATATCTAACGCTGAGTCATTGGGAAGGAGGAAGGTACAGTTTTCTGTAGAAAGCTTGCATTGACTGTTGGTCTACCACTTATTAGCAAATCTACACCATATACTTCATAATTATGCCAGGTAGAGCAGTTAAGTACTTTGTGATTTCTATGTAGTGCCACACCGTAATTTAAATAAACATTTTAAACGCGTCACAACCTAATATCACTGAGAGCATAATGTTTCGTCTCTACAGAGGAGTTAATCTTGCCTGTAAAGACGCAGAGTATCAGGTACTTGGTTTGAACGCCAAGACAAAGTGCCCACATACCTGGAAGTTTGCTGAGGCTGGAAGTTTTCATTGATACGCCCACAGATACACCACTAAAAAATGATTTAGGCTAAATGATAAGAAATATTTACCCAGTGGTACCCAGATAAAGCACAGTAACTTCATAGTAATATATGCCAGCTGTCAGAGGGATGGGAGCATCAGAACGAACAGAAGCTGCCTCCTGACCACCGTAACTAGTATCTGGAAAGGAATGTAACTAAGTGTTGGCTTTAAAATACCATGACGCTCATTAAATCCGCTACTATACGACACGGTCAGGGCGAAATGTGTCAGTCTTAGTGACTTCGAGCGATCCTTATTATTCCAACATCTAGGAAGTCTTTGAAAGTTCGGGGACAGACAGCTGCTCTTGTAAAACTTTAACCAGAAGCTATCGAAATCTCTTGCTAGTTTATCATAGCCATTTGGCTGCGCCATTTTGTCACAGACAGCTGATCTTGGTAAAAAGCGCCAGAGTAACTTTGCGCTTGTACGCAATTTGGAAGTGCGGTTAAAGCTGTTCAATGGGCAGACCATGAAGAAGGTGGGAACACAAACTTTTCACTATTCATAATGAGTTATCAACTTGAAGCTTAAGAAAACTACTTAGACATCGCTATTAGTGGGAGTGAACGTCACTCCACTCTGTGTTCAGATTCAGATTTATTGGTTGAGAAGACTTGGAGACTATGTTAATCCATTTCTAGTAAATTTCTGTGGTTGTGCAAACTCTTCTTGAATAGATCAGTTGAGATTGCAGACACCACTTCTTCTGGAAGTTGGTTCCAAGAGTTTATGACGCGGTGCGAGAACCAGTACTCAACAGCAATATGGTTTCTTCATGGCTTTTGAACTCTCCTGCTATCACCTCTAAGGTGTTCCGACCTAGTGGGAATGAAAAGATAGAATAGGTCAGGCCCGTAGTCATTATTTTAAATTTAAAAGATTGTGATTCAATCTCCACTCGGCCTACGGTACGACAGGGAGAAGAGATATAAACTATCTAGTCTTTCCTCGTATGATAAGTTAGTCATGCCGTGAACCATACGTGTTGCCTTCCTTTGAACCCTTTCTAGAATGTGTGAATCCCCTTTAAGACAAGGACTGTCTGCCTGGATACAGTTTTCTACTCTTGACCTCACCATAGATGTATATTAGAAGATGAACATATCTCTGGTGTTTCTAGTAAAGTCTCTGCCAAGTGCCCATAAGGATCTGAAACTACGTGCAGCCTCCGCGCTACAGAGTGCCGTAGTTTTGAAGTCGTGGCTAACTATGACACCTAAGTCCAAGTGAGTCTGAACTGATGGAAGTGTTATTCCCTCTAGTTTGTAGGAGCTGGTCCCCACTTGTCCGATGCGCATGGTTGCACATTTTGCTACCTCGATCGAGAACATCAATTCTATGGACCACACTGACCATTTGTTGAGGTCCTCTTGCAACATGGAAGTATCACTTTCGCCCTTCAGCTCTCCCCAAATTTTTAAGTCATCTGCGTACAGGACCATAGGGGAGTCGGTGATATACAAAATAAATAGCAGAGGTCCAAGTACCGTGCCTTGTGGCATTCCGCTACGCACTGCTTTTTAAGAGAGGAATTTTGAGTTGATCCTAACCCTCTGCCTCTTATCTATGAGGGATCCCCTGAGCCACTTTAGTAACCTGCATTTGACACCAAGACATTCCAACTTTATGGGTAGTCTTTTTTGAGGAACTTTGTCTGAGGCTTTGCTGAAGTCTATGAAGACGATGTCAATGGGTCTTCTGTTGTTCCTTGATTTGGCCCAGCTTTCTCTTGCGGTGAGGAGATTTGATAGGTATGAGAGGTTTCTTCGGAAGCCCTGCTGTGTTCTGATACCTTTCATGTTGATTTTTTCTAGTGTCTTGATGAGTGCTGGTGAGACTAATAGGCCTGTAATTTGAAGGTCTTTGTCTTGATCCTCTTTTGTGGATAGGGGTTATTGTGGCGTCTTTCCAGTCACGTGGTAACACTCCATTTAGGAGAGATAGCTTGAAGATCGTGGTCATTGGGCCGGCTATGTGAGCTGAAAGCTCCTTGAGGAGCCATGGATAAAGATAATCGGTATCCATTGATTTCCATGCATCTAGTTTCATTAGGCGGTTGAGCACGATGTCTCGGTCGACGTCAACGGAATCTATCCCGTGTTCCTCTGATGCAGCTACAGCTGATCCTATAAGGAGTGATGACTCCTGTGTGAAGACTTAGAATTATTTCATTGCTTCTGCTTTTTCTTGATCTTCCTCAATTGTGTCATTGCTCGAAGTAATGTTTGGGACACCATCGAATCTTTTACTCCTGGAGTTAATGTATGAAAACTTTTCCTAGGCTGTGCCTTTGCATTTTGAGCCAGATGTGCTTCAAACGTCATATTTGATTGGCGGATTTCTTCAGTTGCTTTGTTCCTGGCAGTGTTATATAATTTTCTGGTCTCAGAAGTCTCAAGTGTGGCAAAAAGGCTCCGACATTTTTGTTTACATCTCTCGGTTTATCCTATGGGGCAATGTTTCCGCCCCTTAGGACAGACCAAGGGATTAAGGGTTCACTTACTTGGGTGTAAATTTTCTAAATTGTTTCCATGGGGCTTCTACTTGGGACCCTGGGTTGGGTTCTGGCCTTTGGTGCCGTTGCTGTGACCTTTAAAGTGAGCACAACATGACCTCTTCCTAAAGAAAGAATGTGTACGAGATCCACATCGTCATCGTGGGAGAATACTAGGTCAAGAGGCGAGGAGGAGTGCTGTGGGTCATAGTGCGTGGACTTGATGATACTTTGGACTATGGTTAGCTAAATGATAGATTCTAGCAGTTTGTGATCAAAGGAGTTCTCTGAAAATGGCGTTGTAAAACTTGTTCAGCCAACTGTTGGGGTGTTGAAGTCACTGGATACGAGAATTCGTTATTTGGGTGTCCAGGAGCCTAGCTTCTCTATTAGGAAGTCATCTACACTGCAGTCAGGACTGAGGTATTTGGCAATGACATAGATATCTTGGATATACGTCTGCAGCGTAGAAGTTCGCACGATTCACTTTCGTGAGCGAGTCCTTCGATACTACGCACGGTTAGCCATTTCTTCAGGTAGATGACTACGCCACCTCCTTTTTGGTTTAGTCAGTCGGGCTTTTGGCGGATTCTATAAACGTTGTGTGTTGTCATGTCTGATACTGTTTGGCAGTAGCCTATCTAAAAGGGACTTGGCCAAGCTAAGGTCATGCTCGAACCTTGCCTCGGGATCGGAGGCCAGTAACTCTTTCACTCTGTGGAGAATGAACAACCTGTGAGAAAGATCAGGTTTACTTGCCGCGGGGTTTTTTATTTTATTTTTGATTTACAGCTTGATTCCACACTGTATTTTCGGTACAAGTATGGAATTTTCAGCATGGATATCGGTAGCCCAAATTTTGCAGGCCGACCATAGATATCAGATGTGCGTCGGTGCTGGCTCGAACCCCGGACCATGTGCATGGTCGGCGAGAGTCCTAACCACTGTGCCACCGACGCACTGAAGCGTAATTCTCTTTCCGTACTTTTTGGACAGTGTGGCCATCATGCTGTCTCTTTTCGTCGCCTTTTGCGGGAGACTGCATTACGCCATTCGTTGGCGTCCTCCTCGCCAACCGTGGTCGATTGTGTCTGCATACTATCCATCGATGTGGATTAGACTCGATCTACAAGTCCCCGTGCGACTTTAGCTTCGGGTTTTCGACCCCTAGTACGCACCATCTTCTCACCAGTCTTTTCATCAGTCTTGCTGGAGGGCTTATCCAGTATCATGGGCAGCATGGGTGTCTGAACTATGGAGGATGCTCTTCTGTGCTGAAGAACACTCACTCGTTGACAGAGAAGCATCGGGAACATGCATTGTTTTGTCGATGACACTAGTCACGCCCTCATTGTCTGAGCAGTAGTCCCCCTTCTCCTGTGGTCGGAGACCCTTACAGGCGATTTAAATATTTCTTTGGGAGTGGAAGGCTTCGCATCTATTTTAACACTTTTCTAATATGTGCCTGCGCCTGTCTAGTCCTCTCTCAAAACAGTTAGTTGGGAGTGCAGACCACTTCCTTTGGGAGTTGGTCCCAAGAATTGATTTCTCTACGAAAAATTTCATATTCTGTGGCGAAACAGTTCCTCCATGAATTCATGTCTTTCGAGATGTTCTTACCTTATGGAAGGCAAAGAGAGGATAGATTAGATCTACGGTCATTTGATGAAGATTTGGAAATCGCAGTCAGATCTCTGACTACGCAATTAAAATCAGAAGAGGTTTAATGTGTTATAGATCAGTCATATTATAAATCACATGTTCGGCCTTCTTCCGGAAATTCCAGGAATGTATCAGTCCCCCCTCATGTAGTGAGTGAAAGCAGTCTTCTGGTTTCAAGTGCGGAAAATTTTACTGGTGACTCAGGGAAATACTTGTCGATTACCAATACGGATCCGAAACTGAGAACAGCTGCACAGCGTTAGTATGCCGTAGCTCTCAGTTCATGGCCTTTGAGGCTTCTACGATACAGAATACCATATCCACTTAGACAGAGCAAGTGATTTTAGGACTCAGAAGAGTGGAGTGAGTAACCAAATAGAAACTATTTCTTGCAATTTTTCAGGCATCCTTTTTCTGTTGAGCATTGGATGCCCTTTCTGTGTTTGACTAGGTTTACCACTCCACTTGCCGTATACTGCAATTAGAAAAAGAAAGGTTTCAGAACGCCATTGATCTTCTTTATTATTGCGAGCTGCCGGTCAGTAATCTGGATAATTATTCGGATAGAAAAGCCGATTTCTGAAGGCCCAGACTACTCCTGCCTACCACCTCACAAACCTACCTGAAGTCTTCTTATGATACAAAGATAGTGGTTAGTGAGTTAAAAAAGATGTCTAAGGAGGATATTCACGGAACATTCTATCAAGATGTTGTCCGCTCACTGAAACCACATAGCCACTGTTTATCTGTTATCCTCATCAATACTAGATCAGTTTTAAACAAACACTCAACACTAGGTACATCAGCTTCTATGTGCAGACCATCATTGATTATGATCACTCAAATCTGGTACACAAGTGAAACCTCCAATGACAGTCTAAGAATTGATAACTACAATCTGTTTCGAGGCGACAAACAGACAGGAGGTGGGGGTGGAACACTAATCTACTGTGGACAATCCATGTGTGCAGCCCATTTCGGTAACCCAGTTCTGTCACTACTCACTGACTCGATCTGTGTCGAAATAAACGTTGTCTGAAGTAAACCTGTACTAATGGTGCGTGTGTACCGACCCCCTTCATCAAGGAACGGGGGTGATAATATGCTCAGCGACATTTTATACGTTATAGCCAATCTCCCTTTCTGGTACAAAATTATTGCGAGTGATTTCAAAATGTCAAAAGAATCATGGTTTTTCACTCCAACGAATCCAGAA